GCCGAGCCGGGCGGCGCTGCCGCACTGCCTGCGGCGGAGCCTCCGGAGCTGCTGCTTTGTCAAACCAGCGCCGGAGCGTTCTCACGGCTCCCTCAGCCCAGCCCTGGCCGTACCGCTTTGCCCCAGGGACATCTGTAGCTGTCCGCTGGATGCGGGCTAATTAAATAGAGAAAGGATTTTATTTTTTTTTTTTAATGGCCCCTTCGAGCTTTAAAGAGCCAAGTATTTCCAGCTTTTGATAATATCACAAGAAGCCAAACAATTGGATTTGAAATATAAAGTGGTTTTGTAACATAAGGAAATACATTTTTATCAGTGTTCAGGATTTTGGTCTCCAAGTTTGTTTCCCTGTCGTATTATGTCTGAATTGGAATATTCACAGAAACGTTTGTCTCCATAAATCAGTATTCTTTCCAGGAAAGATCTTCTGTCTCAATTTATTGCAAAGTCTGTTTCTATACAATGTACCTAAATGCAAACGTGCTTTTTAAACACAAATACACTTTCCTGGGCCCATGCTGTGAGAAGTGACACTTGCAGAACCACCTGCCACATCTTCAGACAGGATTCTGAGTACCACACAATTGGCAAAATTTAACAAGCCTTATAGCAGTTTTGGTAGAAGAATTGTTATAGAATCATTAAATCTTCTTTAACTTACAGTGAAAAGAAAAAAAAGTGCTAGAGCAATGAGAACAAAACTGCTATTTGCTGCCTCTTTCTGCCTCTGCATTTCTCTGCTTGTCTCATCTTAATCGAAAAATCAGCCTTTATTGTCATAAACTCTTTATAGTAGGAACTGTCATTAATATAAGCTTATAGAGAGCTTACTAAAATAGAATCTCAAATGAAATGGGATTACTATTCCTGGTAATGTTAGCTCAGCTAAGCTAGGGTAAATATAAATGCACCTACCACTGTATATTTGTTCATGGTTTTCTAATTATTCCTTATGAACAATATCCTTTTCCAACATGGGACACAGATTTGACCCTGGTATAAATTTTTTCCTACTTACTTCAGATGGAGTTGGACTTGTTTATGCCTCAGCTGAATTCAGCCATATAATCAGTCCACATTTGTGGTCCTTTTTAGTAAAAGGGGAAACACTGAAGAAAACACAGATTCTGAATGCTCAAACAGGGTTTAAGACCATCCCTCTTTCTGCAGGAGATGATGGTTAACTTCAGAACTTGTTGCTAGAAACAACATCAGTTGTTCTTGAAAACTCACTCCAAATCTCACATATTGAATGTAACTAACATTTTTTTTCCAAGTGTGGACTGAATGAAAAAAGTTGTCAACAAAATATATGGTTTGAAAATTTAGTTACAGGGGAGTTTTTTGCTTTCCTGGTTTAGGAATTCATAGTGTTCTTAATGCACAACTGCTCAGTCTGTGCTCTTATATCCTTTTTTACAGGAAGTTACTGAAGAAAAGGTCCTATAAGGAATTTAGGCATCTAAAAACTTATTTCAGTGTTGAGTATTTTCCTTAATTACTTGAAGGGAATAAGATTTTAATTAATAAAGATAATTAGTCTGATTTTTGGTAGCCAAATGAACATTTTCTAATTGGTTAGGATATTCAAAGTAGTTCATACTAGTTTACAACAGCACCATCTTTTAAGCTTTGGAAAGTCTTGTTCAGTATAGATTTGGTCCCAGGTTGTGAACAGAGTGACATTATTTTTATTTATTGTGATGACTGTTGTGAGTTTTTTAACATAAAGGTGTTTTATGTGATGTGGTGCTTGGAGAACAGGCTGATTATGACCATGGGAAATAAGGTGTGACAGCTGGGAAAGTGACTGAAGGGTGGGGGACTGGGAATGGATAAGTGAGGTCCTCTGAGGACAGCAATCCAAATTAGAAAATGGAGTGCAAATGATAAAAGCTTATTAGAGTAAAAGAAGAAAAATAGTCAGTCAGAGAAGAGAAAAATCAAGGAAAATATTAATAGAAAATTGGATATAATGTCAGGAGAGGAAAAAGCCCCCAGTGGAACCTGAGAGAAAATGAAAGGAGATACAAGAGACTGAGATCTGCTTGAAAGGTTAATTGAGCTTTCTAGTGGGCACTGACAGAAGATGGAGTATGTGAATTGCCATCTTTTTTATTAAAACATATATATGTTTTTTAAATGGAGCTAATTCCATTTAGGAAATCTAGATGAAGTGCAACAGGGGCTGTACTTCCAAAGGCTGTAAACTTGCACAACAGTCCATTTCTCTGGTGACCACCTGCCTGTTGTGTCAGCCAACACAGAATGAAGGCTCAGACCTGGAGGAAAACCCAGATATAATTTAGTAGCATATGAAGGGCTAACTGATGAACTGGCAGGCTATAACTCCAGCACTTTTCTAATAATATTCTTAATAAGATAAGGAAAGCAATATTCTAAAGCGTATTGAGCAAGTGCAGAAAGACTCTGTCTGACATAAAGGCTGTCTCATCAAACAGTTAAGGACCATGGCACAGTATGGAATCAGTGGTTAGGAAGAACCAGGAGTGTTTGTTTCAGCAAGCTGCAGTGACAGGAATGTGACTGACATGGCACAGCCCTCAGCAGCAAGATTGGAGTGATGGAGGGCTAGAAAAAAAGGGGCTTCAGAAATTCATATTCTACACGCTCCAGTCCTGCTGACACTGATTCTGAGCAAGTCATTTCCTTTACTTGTGCCTCAGTTTTATTTTTGCACAACAGGAATGTGCAGTTGCCGCAGAATAATTGAAACTTTGATGTTTCCATAGCACTGCCCCGCGAGGATGATAACTGGAGCTCACTTCAATAGCAGAGCTGAGTAGTGGGAGAAAGCATTCAGTGGGTTTTCTGTCAAACTACCAATTTTAAATAGGCTGCTTCATTATGGGTCAGATTCTGAATCTCTTTCTAAAATGAGTATTTTAGCTTGAGTAAGAGTTTGACTTACGTGAGATGGTGAGATGCAAGCTAAGTATATTGAGAAGAGGCTTGCAAGTCTTTTGGATAACCATGTAAAATTTAACACTGTAAAATACATGGTAAATGCTGTGAGTATGAAATTAATTATGATAACTTGTTTATGCTTCATTAAAATCACATAAAGACCTTTCTTAAAAATAAGTAGTGCGTGCTCACCTAGTTAAGTATTTTTAAATTTTTTTTTTCATATTTTATGTTCCAATAAATAATTCAAATACTTGTGGATATCAAGTTTATTCACAGTGCTCTGAGAAAGTCATTTTAGCCCAAGAGCCACTCTGGTAGTACAGCACTTGTGGGTTTGGTAATTCACCTTATGCCAGAGGCTGCAGACTGTGCTGGCAAACAGCTGATTGTGTCTGTGTGTTTGTGGGCTTGCTGGGGACTGCATTTCTAGCTTATGGGGGGGGATTTCTGCAGGATTTCAAAAAGTGGGAGGGAGGTGACAGGGAGGAAATGAAATCATGACTGCAGGTGAAACAAGGCTCTTGAAATTTCATATCCTCTCAGAAATTATCACCAGCCCAGTGAAAAATAACTGTATCAAATGATAACTGTGACCTGAGTACTTATGGTTTTAAGAATTATGGCTATGGGACTGTAATCATCCTGCCAGAGTTCCCTCATGAAAAAAAAGGGTAACTGCAAGTTAAGGCATGTAGAGAATCAGTTCATTTTAAAGTGATTTTTCTGGTTTGGGTTTTTTTTTCCTTTTGCAGTTTTTACAATTTGGCAAATTTACCCCTTTTTTCCCCTATGAATTGTACTTCGATTTGAGAGCTGGTTGCTAGTTACCCATATTAATGTATTTCAGGGGAAAACTGATCATGCTGAAGAGAGGACAAACCTGTAACAAGCTGACTAAGGACCAGCCTTATACCCATCTGGAAGAAAGAGATTTTGAGAATCTGCAATGAAAAGGTAAGACTTTTTATACCTGCAGTACTGAATCTTCAATGGAAGCATAATACTGATTGTCTGAGGTGAAGTTGATACAATTCATATCTTAATTAACCCTTGAGGCAATCAAGAAAATCGTTTATCTTTTGGAGGTTGTAAAACCTACAGATATATCCATTCTTAGTTGTTTTCCTGGATTAACTTTTTTATGCCAGTTTATTTGGCATCTATGGAGAAGCTGTCCTTCTGGGGACAGCACAGGAGTTTGGCTATTGATCTGTAAATACCAAACCTTGCACATTTAGGATTGTATTGTAATGTATGTTTTACATAAGAAACTTGTCTGTCAGGTTTGCTTAGCCAGGCATGGATGTCTAATTCATGGGGAGTCAGCGAGACTGAATCCTAGGTTGTATTTCCATTTTGACCAGATCCCTAATGTGGCAAGCTTGTTTTCAATGGCTCAGGTTGCATTGGTTCCAGGCAGTCTAGAACAAGTTAAACTGGGCAGAGTGAAGAAATGAGGGGAACAAAAGGGAGATTAAGTATCAAAGGTTGGCTTCCAAGACTGTGTTAAATTAGTTTAACAACACAAAGTTCTGTAGTTTAGCATCGGCTCCCCAGACTTTGTTGTGGACTGCCGTGCAACAGATGGACTACACAGCACATGAGCACAGCAAGGAGAGGGATCAAAAAGAGGAAAAACAAACAGTGCAGTTTTCCTTTTTTTAAGTAACTCTTTCTGCATACTTTCCACAGCATCATAGACCTCCCTATTGCTGTTGGGTTTGTGAGGGTGCTGGGTATTTTTAAACAAGAGTTTTTGTCTGCTTTTAGAGGAGAAAGCTGACAAATCACTAACCCACGTCTGGGTTACAGAGGACACTGTGCTGTCTCCAAGTCTGAGAATCCTTGCTGCTAGGGTTGGCACTCTCATGGGATGATTCCCAATAAAAAACCTGAGCAAGCTTTAAAAACTAAATTTAAGTAATCATCAACCTAGTAAGTAATGAATGCTGAATTAATTGCTTGTTAGATCAGTAGCAGTTAATTAAAATACCACTGAAAGCTCAGAAAAACTGATAGCTACCCACTGAAATCACAAGTGTGCCTTGGAATACACAATGTTGTGTATTTTTGTGGAACACACATAGAAAGGAAATGGTTCATATGACTGATTAGCTGGCACAAGTGCTATGCACAAATGTCTCTGCTAATATTATAATCCATGTGAAATAGTGACTAACCTTCTTAAAGAGTATAATAATGGGACTATTCTGAAAAATTTCAGTAGCCACAAGACCTACACAGATTCATGAGCTGAGAGTGTTGAACAAATAGGTATGAGTCAGCTCTAATTAACATATACCCAAATATGTTTGAATGGATTTGACTGCAACAGTCTTTTGTTCCCTCCTATATTTGCACACCAGTTTAAGGTCTGCACTCCTGAGTAAGGCCAGTAGCAATTGATCTGCAGTGAAGCAAGCAGTGTACAGTGTGCAGTCCCAAATGGTACACACATGTTCAGAGCACAGGAGGATTATTAATACTATTGAAATACCAATCAAAGTGCTTCAGCAGGCACCAGGCAGCTGCAAAACATTTAGGCATTTAGGGACAGCTCAGGAATTCCCATGAGCAGGAGTGAGACAGGAAATAGTGAGAAGCTGAATAAAGTAGCTGAGGAAAATGCCTTTATTTAAAAGGGAGATGAATTCAAAAGAAGTTCAGCATATCCAAGCGTAGAAGTCAGAGAAAATAGATTAGGAATAATCTGAAAAGGGGAAGAAATCCTGTATACTTTTCAATAGAATTGAAATTTTATACTTTCTAAAACATCATCTGGAACTTTGTCTTCAAACAGTAGCTAGCCAGTTGTGATGGTAAATGAATTCCAAGGTAATCATTCCTGTCTGCCTATACAGTTATATATGGAGAAATGCCATTTAGCCATCACATTGAACTTAGGGAACTTCACCCTACAAGTCTGTTTATAGTGATGAGCCAAATTTTGTCTCAGTGTGGCAGAAACTGTTTATTTGCAGAAGAAATTTGGCTATGTTATAACAAACACTAGAGTTGAATGGCTACTTTGATAGTCTCATATTCTGAGATGGGGTGAGTTTGGGACCAGAAAATGCTGTAAGGAGTGGTCCTTTAAATGTGTTGGTGGAGCCATAGGGAGCAGGAGGTCAGAGTAATGACACTGAAAGTGCTAACAGGAGTCAGTACTCTGCCATGGCAGAGCACTGAGGAGCCAAGGCAAAGGCTGGGATTCCCTGGGAGTGCAAGGTGCTGGGGGTCACCCTGAACGAGCATCCAGCAACCACCCTGAGTATGAGTTCCCAGAGTGCTGATCTGACATCCTCGTGGCAAGTGTGAGTGGGTCCCTTCCCAAGAAACAGCGATGCTTTGGGGTTTTTTTAACTTCCACCTAGAGAAACAGGCAGGGTGTGTTGGACGGTGCCTTTTAAACAGGAGGGCTGGAAGCTGAAACCAGAACATTCCGTGGCAACTGGAGAAAGTTCTGAGGAGAGTGCAGTGAGAGCGGCAGGACCCCCCCCTCCCCCTGCCTGGAGGAGAGACAAAGAACAGGCGAGGAGGGAACTGAAATAGGAAGCAGGAACCATGTTAGGAGGCTGGGGGCTAAAAGAAAGCAAATTAATAAACCACTGGGGGAAAGGAGCACAACTGCCCAAAGCCACTAAGAAAGATAAGCAAATTCCAGATTCTTTAAGTGCTCCCTGTGTGTGTGTGTGTGTGTGTGCAGCCTGGCTGGTGTGTTAAACATAATCATCTTCGTCACTGCAGCGAGAACTACTCGTGTGTCTGCACACAGACTTACAGAATATGAGCACTGTTATCTATTTAATGTGGTGTATTTAAGCTGGGTTTGTCAGCATTGCTACCGCTCAGCCCAAAATTTCTAAAAATACACACTCATATCAGGGTGTGTGCACACATAGTACAGTAATAAAAAGCTTCTGGTAATATTCTGCCTACAGTGGGGACAAACAGTTGCTATCAAAAGCAGGGGAAATCTGGAGCACAGGCTGAGGGCACTGTGTGGCCCTAAGTGTTAATGTAATATTTTGGAAGTTGGAAGCTTGGTGCGCTCATTTGCACATCAGTACCCAGAATGCTTTTTCAGTTCCACCACTATTTAATTCAAGTGCTGGGTTTGAGCTTTTGGAAGACTCTGTAGTTTGTGATGCCCTCACATGTGCCAAGTTCAGTATTTTCCACAGAATAGTTTAAGTGACGATATTAGACTGTGTGAATAGGTGGTCCAAGGATTCTTAATTAGGCTTGATGTTACAAATGCAAAAAAGTGCCCTCGAACGCTTCTTCCCCCCCCCCCAAGCGTTGTCTTTAACAAAACAAAGAACTCTGTTTTGGGAACGTGTGTGTTTGTTGGATGGGGAAGATACTTCTTCAAAACTCGGGGAAAAATTCTTCAATGAGACAGAAAGCAGATTTCAGCTGCAAATGAGTAATGATGATGATGATGTTGGAACAGCAGCTCTTTCATAGAGAGCCCTCGAGCCCACAGAGAAGATTCAGCACTAGGACAGTCCAGGC